GGGCAGGCAGGGCCCTCCGCCCCGGGGAAGCGTAAGCGGCAGCTGAGAGAAGGGAGAGCGAAGGACTAAGGCAGACTGGAAAATAAAAAGCAAATTGTGGCCGTCTCCAAAGTGGCAAACTGGAAGAAAACAGAGAGGGGAAAAATCAAGTGGAAAGGATTAAGAGTTTAACAGAGGAAGAACTATGGCAAAGCTCGTGTGTGGGGAACAAGTATGAACATGAGAACTGTCACACCACAACATACAGATGGTAACAGACAGCTGCTGTGTTCAGAGAACGGTTAGAGTTGGAAGGGACCATCGAATTCCATCCCCCCTGCCATGGGCAGGGACACCTCCCACCAGACCAGGCTGTCAAAGCCCCATCCAATGTGGCCTTAAACACCTCCAGGGATGGGGCATCCACAACTTCCCTGGGCAATCTGGTCCAGTGCCTCACCGCCCTTGCAGTAAAGACTTTCTTCCTAATACCTAATCTAAATCTACCCTCTTCCGGTTTGAAGCTGTTACCCCTCATCCTATCACTACATGCCCTAGTAAAAAGTCCCTCCCCAGCTCTCCTGTAGGCCCCCTTTAGGTACTGGAAGGCTGCTATAAGGTGTCCCCAGAGCCTTCCCTTCTCCAGGCTGAACAACCCCAACTCTCTTAGCCTGTCCTCATAGCAGAGGTGCTCCAATCCTCTGATCATCTTCATGGCCCTCCTCTGGACTGGTTCAAACAGGTCGATGTCCTTCTTATGTCGGGAGGCCCAGAGCTGGACATGGTACTCCAGGTGGGGTCCCACAAGAGCAGAGTAGAGGGGCAGAATCACCTCCCTTGACCTGCTGTGATGCAGCCCACGTTCAGGGTTATCAGCATCAAGTCTTGAGGCCAAGATTGTCAAAAAGCAAACAAGTTTCCAGCCCAAATTCCACTGCAACCAAAAGGCATCCGAGCACCCAATTTCTTCCAATTCCTTCGCAATTCCCAATATTTCTCAATTTTTGTGCTGTTAAGAATCCCAGCTAACCGCATCTGTTTGAAGGAGATGCTGAAACCACAGGAAATAGTGCTTTAAATTGCTTTGACAATTTGACAGTCAGTGTCAAATTTCATTTTGTTTTAACTTTTCCACTTGTAATGTGATCACCAGGGTAGGAGGATCTCCCTAGAAGAGACTTGGCATTTAGCAGACAGATTGTCCAAGGGGTGCAACAAAGCAGCTGATGGCTGTCATCAAGGAAACTCTCTATAGAAGCAATATTTTTTCTGTCTATGAGTGTTCGCATCCTCTCTCCACCCCCCATCCCCCCCTTTTTTTTAAACTCAGGAATGAGGTAGGGACCAGTTGATAGTAAAGATGGAACACAGCTGGTTTCCAGAAGAATGCTTCTCTGAGCAAATAAGGCCCTCTCCCTTTCAGAAATGAGATGACTACGCCATTAAAGCTTAAACAGCTGCTCGTTCTAATGACCTGGTCTAAGCCAGGATGGTATAATCACATCAGGTCCCACTGGTGGTATGGTCACATCAGGAAAGTTTGCTTTCCATTGACTTGTGTCTATATTTTGAACACAAAAGCTTTATACCTGAAAGTTACAGCTTCTGTACAGTAAGTCTTTCTGCAGAGACCCTCAATCTTGCTCTACAGTGAAGAAATTTTTATCTATTTTTACATTTATCCACTTGGGGTTATAAAGCAGTGCCACCTCACACACTATAGTAACTCACACATCATGTCTCTGGTTCATTCTCCTCTACAGGGAAGGGCTGCACCCATCTCCCTGACGGTCACAACCCAGCCACACCTTCTCTGTCCATCCCCTATGATCTGATGTACCAGACACAGCTGACCAGTCGAAATGGAAGTCATCAAGTGCGAACCAGTGCTACTCCAAAGCTCATCACATGGCTCACTCAGGAGAAAAAGCTGAGTTCCCACAGTCAGGTGCACACGTTCTCCCTCCTTTTCTCCCCTTTCCCTTGACTCCCCCCAATGCATAATGCTTTGTTTTACATGGTCATTGTAATCTAGCCCAAACCTGGAGTGCCACTTGGAAGGATAGTCCCACACTTCCTGTTCAACCTGACTGACTGCTCCCTCCCTGCTCCCTTGCTCCAGCACCAGCATTTCTGTAATGACAGGGTCAGAGAATCAGGGAACCGATCCAGCTGTAAACTGGAAGGAAAGGAAAAAAGAAAAGGAAAAAAAAGTTAACATCTGGGGACACAACAGACTTATTTCAAGGTCCAGGTGACTGGAAGGAGACCCAAGAAGCTGATGTGGCTGGGCTCCAGGATCCAGCTGCCCTGTTATGGGGTAGGCAAGGTATTCATAAGAGCACTATCAGAGCTCAAGATATAGAATAGCAGCTCAGAATAGCAACAAAATCTGAACAAATCTGCAAAGTTTGTTCGTAGCTGGACCCGTTTGTAATAAACTGGCATATGCCCAGAAATCTGAAATAGGCCAGTCTTTCCTTTTACAAATTGTTTCTTTTAGTTTCTAAGGTAATAGGAGCTTAAGTGTAGTTACAAAAGAGAGGAAAACAATAAAATACCCCAGCATTTATTACACAGTGAATGTCTCACAGAGAAGATGCTGTATAATGGAAGCCCCAAGTCTAGCTTTTCTACAGTAACAGCAGCGTATCCTTGGCTGCATCTAAAGCCTTTATTTTTCATGGCATCATTGACATAAACAGAGTCCTGTAAACCACAAGTCTCTTTAACAGCTTGTCTTACTACCTACATAGCCATTTATTCAAGTATAAAGGTTAAATTAAAAATAAATGAAAGCAACTGATGCATGAGTGCACTCTGGCAAAAAAAAAAACAAGTTCCCAAAACCTGATAGGGACATTACTGAAGATGAGAAGGTAACCGAGTGAGTAAACACCAACTGCTGGCTTAGCCTTACTTATGAAAAATCTGTTGCAGCAGGTAACTGGAAACCTTTACATGGTAATCAGCAAGATTTACTTATCTTTCTCTTTCTGTAGCCTGATATCTCTGCAGTGGTCTCTGTCAAAAGACTCATTTTTAGCCTGATTTCTTAAGGAAAGAATGCTTATGCAATTTCACTGTCTGTTGGTGTTTCTGCCTGTGGGTCCTCTCTCTTCCCCCCTTTCCTTGCCAAAAACACATGTTTAAGCCATTGCCCAATTCCATCTAAATTTGTAC